TCAGTAAAGTTATATTTTTACTTGTACTTGTTTATAGAGATGTAAAATACGGAGACTTGGCAGTAATCTTATTGATACTGTGGTGCACATTTGTCAAAGGGGCTCAAAAGGAAAAGTATCAAATCCAAATTCAAGAGCAGGGTAAGGAGGTGCCCAACGGGGAGGTCTTGTAGAGGAGATAACACTGTGAGCGTCCTTGAAAGTGGAAAATGGAGGGGGGGTGACAAGCAGCAGGCACCTCCAGGGACAGCTTGAACACTGCTAGGGATGACATCCAGCGTGAGCATTTGGAGGGCCAAACTGCAATCATTGCTCAGAAGTGTGGACTTCACTTTATGAGTTGTGATGCTTCATTAACTCATTTAAACCTTGTAACTGGGCTGGGCGTGTTAAGTTATATCTGTAATCCTAGCACTCTGGGAGACCAAGGTAGAAGAATTGCTTGAACCCAGGAGTCTGAGGTTGCCGTGAGTTATGTTGATGCCATGGCACTCTAGACTGGGCAACATTGCGTAACTCTGTTTAAAAATGTAAAACAAACCAAAAATAGCCTCACAGGCTTGGTGCCCGAAGCACAGTGCTTACAGCACCAACCACATACACCAAGGGTGGCAGGTTTGACCCCGGCCGGGGCCAGCTGAATGAGAATGACAACTACAACAAAAACAAAAAACAGCCGGGCATTGTGGCGGGCACCTGCAGTCCCAGCTACTGGGGAGGCTGAGGCAAGAGAATCGCTTAAGCCCAAGAGTTAGAGGTTGCTGTGAGCTGTGACGCCACAGCACCCTACCCAAGGCGACATAGTGAGACTCTGTCTAAAAAACAAAAACAAAAAAATCTTATAATCAACCTGATAGAGTTCCAAAAAGGAAGAAAATAAACATACCTCTATTTTACAGACATGGAAGTTCACAGTGATGGTGTTGAGCAGCTGACGATCATAAAGCTGGTGGTGGGAGTGGGACTGGGGTCTGTTGGAACACAAAGCCCGTGCTTTCCCACTTCGGTTCACAGCTGCCCACCACACCAAGATCAGAAACCTGAGATGCGGTGTGGCTACCCCTCCCCTGAGCTGCAGCCAGCACAGGCTTGTGGTCCCCACCCATACAGCCTCTGCCTCCTGGGAGCCTGCAAGGAGCCTTCCCACGCCGTGCAGGCATCCCGTGGGACCCCCTGGCCACACTGCGCAACCCAAGCTCCCCAAGACATTAGAGCTTTCTCCATCCTGCTGGCCGTCTGCCCTGCCTGGGAAGCCCTGTCTTCTCCCCACCTCCAACATCCACCACAAACCCGGCGACTCCTACTCACACTTTCCAGACTCAACTCTAATTCGTGCTACTCTCTGCACAACCCTGCTCCCTCTCCCTGCTGTGGAATTAGGCATCCTCACCCTCTGCACCTCCCAAACACCTCGTCTGCTCTCCAGCTGCCCAAGCTGGGCCATATGGGGCAATTCACATGGTCCTAATTGCAGAGCTATGCAGAGGACATTCAGTGAAGCTGAGGGAGGAGTGCATTTAAGTCCCCTTTTCTACCCCAAAGCCCTGCCTTCCTCCCTGCTGTCCCCTCCAGTGCTCTGACCTGCTGTGCCCACCAGGTCTCCTGCCTTGGAAGCCCTGCCCTTATTAAAAAGCAGAAGCCAGGGCAGCACCTATGGCTCAAAGGAGTAGGGTGCTGGCCCCATATACCAGAGGTGGTGGGTTCAAACCCAGCCCCGGCCAAAAACTGCAAAAAAAAAAAGCAGAGCCAGATACAGAAGAGAGGCCCAGAACTCTCCACACCTTCCTGCTCAGAGGGACAGTAAGAGTTAACTAGTCACCAAGAGTTGGCCCTGACTGGAGATCACCTAGTACCACCCCCTGAGTCAAAGGCAGCCTCTGACATCAGCCACAGCTGCAGCCTCAGCCCTCCAGAGCTCCCCAGCCCTCCTCCTCCCCGCTCAGAATGGCCATAATTCTCAGAATGACAAGAGCAGGGCCTTGAACATTATCTCCATGGCCTGCCCACAGTAACTCCCTCCCCACTGCCCACAGGCAGGCCTGCTGGGCACACATGTGCCATGGGGGCACATGCACAGGGTGAAAGGGATGGGAGTGGGGCAGCCAGTGGCCAGTCACCTTGGAAGGCAGAGGGCCTGGGCCTTCAACTGCAGCCGCCAATCCTTTAGCAAGGGCAGGAAAAGATGCCTTTAGGCAGATTTCCTAAGTCGAAAGATATCCAGACCCCTAACTTCTTCCCCAGATGGTCACTCAGTAGAGAAGGAGCGAGAATTCCCTGTGTCCCCTCCGGAGCTGAGGGCACAGGGCAGAGCAGGGCTTTTTTTTATTTTCTATTTTTTTTTAGAAGTTGAGGTTAACATGAGGGTACATATATCAGGTTACATCACATCCATTTGTAAGGTAAAGTCTAAGCTGTAGTTAAGTCCCTCACCCAGGAAGCGTACCTTATACCCTACACTGTACCCATTAGGGGGGAACCTACTGAGGCTTGAAAAGGGAAATGGATACAGAGATGACAATCCCATAGAAACAGGCTCAAGCGGCTAAGGCGCCAGCCACGTACACCTAAGGTGGCAGGTTCGAATCCAGCCCAGGCCCGCCAAACAACAATGATGGCTGCAACCAAAAAATAGCCGGGCGTTGTGGCGGGGGCCTGTGGTCCCAGCTACTTGGGAGGCGGAGGCAGGAGACTCGCTTGAGCCCAGGAGTTGGAGGTTGCTGTGAGCAGTGAAGCCATAGCACTCTACCCAGGGGGACAGCTTGAGGCTCTGTCTCAAAAAAAAAAAAAAAAAAGAAACAGGCTTGTGCTTTCAGACAAATCAGGACCTAAGACACACCCCTCTGGTGCTCCTGACTGTAAGGGCCAGAGTCAGAGGAAAAAGCCGTTCCAGATGGCTCAGGGGTCAAGGAAGCTTCACAGAGGAGGAGGACTGCAGTGGGCCTTGGGGACAGGCCAGGCACTCCGGGGTCACAGGGCCCCCCTCTAGCCACCTGCCTCCCCAGGGTGGACATGGGGGTCTGGCACCAGGCCTGGCCCTTTCATCGTGTCAGGAAGGGGTCCTTGCTGCTGCTCCCAGTGCCTGAGCCTGGCCTCTGCCTCCAAGCAGTGGTGACAGGACACCAAACTGTCTTGAACAGGAGGCAGGGCCTGGGTCAGGGGCAAAGCTAGTGCAATTCTTTCTATGCCCAGTATCCCAGGTGCAGCTGGCTGAGGGGCAGCCTTGAGGTCACCCTTAAAGGAAAAAGACTTCATCAGAGCCCAGCACACGGGCGTGGAGGGCATTGGCCTTGCTGCACCGGGTGACAGTGCATGAGAAATTGCAGAGGCACTCGCAGTCTCCTTGGGAGCACCACAGGCCCCCACAGTGCAAAGACGAGGCCAAACACCCCAGCTCTCTGTTATCAACCTTTCTGCACCCACCAAGCCCACATGGCCATTGTACACGTATGAGGAGCCCACATGGCCATTGCACACGTATGAGGCGGGGATGGAGGGGCATAAGCCCAGCTCTCCCTGCTTTGTGGGCTTACAGAGATGCACCCCCACTCAGCCCGGAGCTATTATCCTCACTCTAGCACTAACCCCAAAAGGAGAACCAACCTGGGACAGGGCTTTGGCAAAGGCTGTATATGTAAATAGATAAGAAAATACGTAGGTCCATTATTTCACTTCCAAGAAACACGGTTGACACAAGGGTCCTTTCTGATTCATCTGAACAAAACTTGCTCAGCTTCTCGGTGTTGCTGGGAGGCTTCATTTGTTTCTGTCAGTGCAGATTTTACATTTTTTATTTTTTATTTTTTTTGAGACAGTCTCAAGCTGTCATCCTGGGTAGAGTGCCGTGCCATCACATAGCTCACAGCAACCTCCAACTCTTGGACTCAAGCAATTCTCTTGCCTCACTTTTTCTACTTTTAGTAGAGATGGAGGGTGGGTGGGTGGGTGGGGGGGTGTGTCTCGCTTTTTGCTCAGGCTGATCTTGAACCCGTGAGCTCAATCAATCCACTCGCCTTGGCCTCCCAGAATTACAGGCATGAGCCACCACACCCAGCCAGATTTTAGACTTGTTGATTTTGTATATTCAAAACTTTCGCAATGAACCACGTAAATGAAAACTGAGCATAGTTCAGTGTTCAAGGTCTCAGGAACTCAGACCAAGTGTCCAAGGTCTGTGGAAGGGACTGAAGGCCAGAGGACCAGCCCTGACACTGACCAGCTCTTCAATCTTGAACAAATCAGTTTTACTCCCTGGACTTCAAGCTCCCTAACTGCAAGAGCAGAGCCAGCCCACCTCTGCCAGCCTGGACTCTGCTGAGTTGTCCCGCAGACCCCCTGGGGGTGGAGTATGTGGTCCACACAACACCTGCAGCCACCTGGGAATATTTGGGGCTTTTTTTGTTTTCTTGAGACAGAGTCTCAAGCCGTCGCCCTGGGTAGAGTTCTGTGCTGTCATAGCTCACAGCAACCTCAAACTCTTGAGCTTAAGCGATTCTCTCGCAGCAGCCTCCCAAGTAGCTGGGACTATAGGCGCCCGCCACAACACCTGGCTATTTTTTGGTTGTAGATGTCATTGTTGTTTGGCAGGCCCAGGCTGAATTCAAACCTGTCAGCTCTGGTGTATGTGGCTGGCACTCTAGCCACTGAGCTACAGGTGCTGAGCTCAAATGTTTGTTTTTTAATGCAAGTGTCTAAACCTCAGTTTAACTCCCATTACATCCTATTGAGGGTGAAGGCTAGGACTCCACACTGCTGGCTTCTCTAAGCTGCCACGGCTCTCCCCCTCCGCCCCCTGGGTCGGCCGCCATTCCTCTCCTTTCTGTGCACTCCCCCCCACTCTCCACAAATGGCCAAATCGGCTTTGTGAGGCAATAGCTCTCTCCTTGACCCTTTCCTTTGTACAGTGAGTGATGACATTCTTATCTCCTGGTGATGAAGTGCAGCCTTCAGCTGGGGGCATTTAAGGCGCACAAGGCACGTTTCAGGCCACAGCCACACAGCTGCAGGACCCAGAGGCAGACGTCCAGGGACTCAGAGGTGCAAAGGTGGCAGCAGCAACCCCGCCACTGCCATTCTGCCGCAACGATGCTGCTCGCAACATTTAAGCTGTGTGCTGGGAGCTCCTACAGACACATGCGCAACATGAGGGGTGAGTCCCTGGGAGGCAGACACCATGAGTGCTCAGCAGGGGCTCCCAGCAGTGTGGCTGGGAAAGTCCTGGGGTGGGGCCCAGGCCACCCACATTCTGATCCCGGTTGTGCCTCTTACTGGGTGAGCCTGGGAAAGTTTCTGAACCTCAGTTTCCCCACATGAAGAACTGGGCTAGACTCTAAGTTATCCCTTCAAGATTCTATAATTTCAGCTCCGTGCCCGTAGCTTAGTGGTTAGGGCACCGGCCACATACACCGAGTCAGGCAGGTTTGAACTCAGCCCAGGCCTGCTAAACAACAATGACAACTGCAACAAAAAAAATAACTGGGCTTTGTGGCAGGTGCCTGTAGTCCCAGCTATTTGAGAGGCTGAGGCAAGAGAATCATTTAAGCCCAAGAGTTTGAGGTTGCTGTGAGCTGTGACGCTGCAGCACTCTACCAAGGGCACATGGTAAGACTCTGTCTCAAAAAAAAAAAAAAGATTCTGCAATTTCTGGTTGCCCCACCCGTGGGCTCCAGTCATTCCTGAACTGTTGCTGACTCAATCTTCCTTCAGGGCTGGACCAAGGGTACCTTGTACCAAGAGTAGCAGGAAGGCCTTGCCCACAGTGCTAGAGGTAGAAGTTTTGACTCCAAAAGCAAGAGAAGGAAAGAACAGGGCAGCAGGACAGCAGGACCAGGTAAAGAGAGAAGCGGGTGAGGTGGGGATGTCTGGGCATCCCATGCTGCCATGAAGAGGCAGGGACCGGTTACCAGAGGCCACTTTTGTAGAGCTGATTAGGACCCAGTTTCATCTGAGTCAATCCCCTGCTACCATTAAGGCACACAAACCAATCTAGACAAGTAACTTCCAATCACACTGGGCTGAATTAGCTACAGTGTATAGACTCCATGCTTGGCAGAGCTGTGGCTGGCTGCGGGGCTGTCCGCACTGAATGGACGCAACTTGCTTGTTGAGTGGCCACCCAGGCAGTGAAGTCTGGCTAGCTGCCAGCACCCCACAGACCACAGGGGATGGTTTGATTCTCTTTCTCTAGTAGGATTTTTCTGGTTGTTTCTCTGATGCAGCCCATCTTCAGGTGGGCCAGGTCTGACCAGACCAGATGGAAGGAACATTTCTGCGCCCCTAGGGTGCAGCAGGCTGGTGCAGTGTAAGAAGCACTGTGCTGGAAGATGGGGACCCAGCTCTAGTACGGATCTCTGCCAGGAATCTGTGTGCTCCTGGGGAAGTCACTGCCACCTCCAAGCCAGCTTCCTCATCTGTGAGAGGCTTTCTGGCTCCTACAGAGTGATGTCCTTCCCTCCCTTCAGGACTGAGGCACCAAGCTGTGCTGGCCATTGGCCAGGAGCTGAACCGGAGGGCCCTAGGGGGCCCGACCCCTGGGTCATGGATTACCCAGGTCCGGCGGCGGAGCTCTCTGCTTGGTAAGTGCTGAGGCTTCTGGCTTCTGCCAGTGGCAGGCGTCTCCTGGGGTGAAAGGTTGTGCATGTGGCTCTGGCTCCCCTCCTGCCCTTCCTCACTTTATTTTGAGAAGGTGTTCCCATCCTAGAGTTCCTCAAGGCCAGCTCCCCTCCCTGTCACCTGCGGTTGCTGGGTCTACCTTGACCAGCAGGCTTTGGTCTTGGCTTTTCAAAGGAAAAAGCAGATCCAGAGACCAAAGTATTGAGAGCTGGTGGGAGGCGGGAGACTAGAAGGGACCTTTCTCTCTGGCTGTGTGGCAGGGTCTCGGCTGGAGGAGACTCTCTACAGTGACCAGGAGCTGGCCTACCTGCAGCAGGGGGAGGAGGCCATGCAGACGGCCCTGGGCATCCTCAGCACCCAGGAGGGCTGGAAGAAGGAGACCCAGCAGGTAAGAGCCACCCTCAGGGCCAGCGAGGGACACCACTTTTCTCTGAATTCCTGCTGCATGCAGTAGTCATGGGGCAGTGAGTAGTTTTAACTAGAGAACTCCTTCTCAGGAATACATCCTCAGATACCCCCCGCCCCTGTGAAAGGCATCTCAGAGCCTTCTACTTCAGAAACACTATTCCTGTACTTAGCTCCCCGCCAAATAAATATACAGTATTTATATACTGTCCACTCAGGAGAGACCCTGCAGTGGGGACTTTGTATACTCGGAGGTGTCATCACTGAGTCGGAATCCCACAGTGCCCAAGTGCTTTGTCTGTGCTGTTCTGCTCACCTTGTGGCTGAGCTCATAGGGTGAGGTGACTGGGCTCACCCTGCAACAGGGCTGGGCTGCGATGCAGAAGGGGCCCAAGGCCTTCTGGGGTTCTCTGCTCCTGGGCACTGCACCGTCATCAGGAGCCTGTAACAAGGCATGTGGTAAAGGCCATTGCCTCTATTGATGGAGACTGTGGTGGCTTCATCTTCAGCAAAAGCTTACATGCACCCCATTCCCCGAAGGTCAGAGAGAACCTCTCTTTCCCCAAGCTCTCAGAGTAACAGAGTTAAAAGACTATTAGGATTCAGGCCAGCACTGCTCTTAGCTAAGGGTCCCTGGGCGAATCACTGATCTCCAGCTCCATATCATTGTGATGTGATGATGTGATGTGAAAAGAGGTATTGAACTAAAGCAACGTTCCTATATCCTATCTATCATTCTATGTATAGTCAAGCTGGTTGTAGAGCAGACTTTTCCTACTCCCAGGTATGTCTCTTAGGATCTGTGAACTTCCAAAATCAAACATGGGTCTTTTCTTTTTTTTTTTTTTTTTTGCAGTTTTTAGCCGGGGCTGGGTTTGAACCCACCACCTCTGGCATATGGGGCCAGTGCCCTACTCCTTTGAGCCACAGGCACTGCCCACATGGGTCTTTTCTATTGGACATAACCACACCACCAACATTCACCACCAAGAAAAAAGGGTCCAAAGGCAGCAGGTTACCTCTTTAGGAGATGTACAAAGCTTGAAGCAGCAGACTGCAGACTTTTTTTTTTTTCTTTTTGAGATAGAGTCTCACTCTATTCCCCTGGGTAGAGGGCGGTGGCTTCATAGCTCACAGCAACTTCAAACACTTAGACTTAAGTAATCCTCTTGCCTCAGCCTCCTGATTAGCTGGGACTACAGGCGCCTGCCTATTTTTAGTAGAGATGGGGCCTTGCTCTTGCTCAGGCTGGTTTCAAACTCCTGAGCTCAGATATCAATCTGCCTCAGCCTCCCAAGGTGCTGGGATTACAGGCATGAGCCACCGTGCCCCACTGCAGACTCTAGGGTTTTTTTGTTTGTTTGTTTTTTGAGACAGAGCCTCAAGCTGTTGCCCTCAGTAGGGTGCCTTGGCATCACAGCTCACAGCAACCTCCAACTCCTGGGCTTAAGTGATTCTCTTGCCTCAGCCTCCCAAGTAGCTGGGACTATAGGTGCCTGTCACAACACCTGGCTATCTTTGGTTGTAGTTGTCATTGTTGTTTGGCAGGCCCGGGCTGGATTCCAACCCGCCAGCTCTGGTATACGTGGCTGGCACCTTAGCCACTTGAGCTACAGGTGCTGCAGACTCTATCTTAAAGTTTCAGGCTTCATGCTTAGCTTGAAATCCCTTCTGCTGTTCACTCCCCACCCTCCTTACCTAATGTCTATGGGAATGAGGCCAAGGATATTCTTCTTTACCCTTTATTCTGGGGCTCATTTCTTTCCCTGATAGACGAATGGGGACACAGTGCTGAGTAAAGTGGTTCCAGATGTGGGCAAGGTGTTCCGGCTGGAGGTGGTGTTGGACCAGCCCATGGAGAGGCTCTATGAAGAGCTTGTGGAACGCATGGAGGAAATGGGCGAGTGGAATCCCAATGTCAAGGAGATCAAGGTGAGGAAGGGCCAGGGGTGGCTGGCAGGGACCAGGAGAGCCCAGTCTCAAGGGTGGGCCAAAGAGGACGTCCAGCTGTAGATGGCATCTAACAGCAGCACTGGCTGAGTAGTTCTCTGTGGCCTGGTAGGTCCTGCAGAAGATTGGAAAAGATACAGTCATCACCCACGAGCTGGCTGCAGAATCAGCTGGAAACCTGGTGGGGCCCCGAGACTTTGTGAGCGTGCGCTGTGCCAGGCGCCGAGGCTCCACCTGCGTGCTGGCTGGCATGGCCACACACTTTGGGAAGATGCCTGAGCAGAAAGGTGTCATCAGGTAATACACGGTGGGCACGTTGGCTGTGGGTGCTGAGCCAAGCATATGAGGGGCTGAAGCTGAATCCCTGCTCCCAACCTTTGGTGGCGGCCCTCGGCTTCCTTTTACAAAAGAAGACTCATTTACCCAAGTAGAGGAGGACGAGATCGGCCCTACTTGAACAGCTAGTTCATCTTGACTCTCACAAAGTTTAAGAACCTTAGTGATTTTCTGAAGCAAGGGGCAGGGTTGTGAGTTCCAGCTGGTATGCTTCATAATCCACACCACTACAACACTGCAGCTCCCCGAGTCTCCCCCGGCCACCACCCTGCATCCCCTCCCCGACCTCCCTGTGCTCCAGCAACTAAGGGCCCAGCAGGTTCCCAGCTTCTGCTCTACCTCCAGCCAGTGTTTGTCCTGATGAGGGGGTGGCCATGCTGCCTGTTAATTCCCCTGGCAAAGGGTACATCATCTCTGATGAGATTTAGGAAAAAAACAAAGTTTCTATAACTGTGGCCAGCTTACCTCATCAGCATAAGTGAGCTTGGCTGCGTCCTGACGCCACTTCTCTCCATTTGCCAGGGCTGAGCACGGTCCTACTTGCATGGTGCTCCGTCCCCTGGCGGGAAGCCCCTCGAAGACCAGACTCACGTGGCTGCTCAGCATCGACCTCAAGGTGTGGACACAGGAGGTGGCTCGGGAGGTGGGGACAAACCAACAGGGACAGAATCCTATTCCATTTTGACAGAATCACAGGCTGTTGGGCAGGGAAGGAACTTGAGTGATGGTTCCTTCTCAGCTCTCACATCAAAATTCAACTCTGTAGTTAAAAAAAATTTTTTTAAGTTTTTTTTCTTTTTAGAGTCTCACTTTGTTGCCCTCGGTAGAGTGCTGTGGTTGTCACAGCTCATGGCAACCTCCAGCTCTTGGGCTTAGGCAATTCTCTTGCCTCAGCCGGGTAGCTGGGACTACAGGCGCCCACCACGACACCCAGCTGTTTTTTTTTTTTCTGTTGTTGTTGCAGGGTTTGAACCCACCACCCTCGATATATGGGGCCAGCGCCCTACTCACTGAGCCACAGGCGCCGCCCTAAAAAAATTTTTTTTGAGACCGGGCATGGTGGCTCATGCCTATAATCCCAGCACTCTGGGAGGCCAAGGTGGGTGGATTGCTTGAGCTCAAGGGTTTGCGACCTGTCTGAGCAAAAAAAATTGAGAACCTGTCTCTACTAAAAATAGAAAATCTGAGACCAGAGGATCGCTTGAGACCAAGGGTTTGAGGTTGCTGTGAGCTATGACACCAGGGCATTCTACCCAGTGTGACAGCTTGAGACTCTGTCTCAAAAAGATAAAGAGGGCAGCACCTGTGGCTCAGTGAGTAGGGCGCTGGCCCCATATGCCAGAGGTGGTGGGTTCAAACCCAGCCTTGGCCAAAAACTGCAAAAAAAGAAAAAGAAAGAAAGAAAAAGAAAAAAAAAGTTACTTTTGGGCGGTGCCTGTGGCTCAAAAGAGTAGGATACTGACTCCATATGCCGGAGGTGGCAGGTTCAAACCGAGCCCCAGCAAAAAAAACAAACAAACAAACAAAAAAAAACATTGAAAAAAAATTTTTTTTGAGACGGAGTCTCACTCTGTCACCCTTGATAGCATGCCCTGGTGTCACAGCTCACAGCAACCTCAAACTCTTGGGTTCGAGCTCCTCTCACCCCAGCCACCTGATTAGCTGGGACTATAGAGGCCCACCATAACACCTGGTAATTTTTTTCTGTTTTTAGTAGAGACGGGGTCTTGCTCTTGCTCAGACTGGTCTTAAACTCCCGAGCTCTGGCAGTCTTCCCAGATCACTGGGCTTCATTCAGCTCCTAGAGTGCTAGGATTATAGGAGTGAGCTACCATGCCCAGCTGTAGTTAATACTTTTTTATTTTATATTTTATTTTGAGACAGAGTCTCACTATGTCAGCCTTGGTAGAGTACTCACAGCAACCTCAAACTCTTGGGCTCAAGTGATTCTCTTGCCTCAGCCTCCTGAGCAGCTGGGACTACAGGCTCCTGTCACAATGCCCAGCTATTTTTAGAGACAGGATCTCACTCTGGCTCAGGCTGGTCTCCAACTCATGAGCTCAGGCAATCCACCCCTCTTGGACTCCCAGAATGCTAGGATTACAGGCATGAGCCACCGTGCCTGGCCAGGCCCAGGGATCTTGAGTGTGAGAAAGGTGATATCACTTGCTCAGGGTCACACAGCTGGAAAATAGGACTGACATCTGTCTTGCCAGCAGATCTTGTGCTAGACGCTGTCCTGACAACAGGGCAGCAATGCATTCCCCTGGCCTTTGACTCTTGTCAACTCCAAAGTTGCATCTGTAAAGCTGGAAGACCAAGCCCCAGGCAACCTATGTTTGTGACAGGGTGTCCAGGGCGCAACATTACCTCCAAGTAATGGTCAGTTTGCTTATCTTCTACTGCAGGGGTGGCTGCCAAAGACTATCATCAACCAGGTCCTATCACAGACCCAGGTGGATTTTGCCAACCATCTACGCAAGCGCCTGGAGTCCAGTCCTGCCCCTGAAGCCCAGTCCTGCCCCTGAAGCCAGGTGTTAAAGACCAGCCTGCTATTTCCAGCTGTCCCCAGCTGTACTGGTTTGCTGCTTATTAGGGCAACTCCTGTGGAAGCCTACACATCTGTTTGAGATCTCCATCCGGTGACGGTGGATGGAGCATGATACGAGGACTGATTCAGTTTTAGTATGTAGCACCAAGAGAGTAGGGATGAGGCTCTTAGATAAGTGGTTCTCAACCTTCCTAATGCCGCAACCCTTTAATACCGTTCCTCATGTTGTGCTGACCCCAGCCATAAAATTATTTTTGTTGCTACTTCATAACTATAATTTTGCTACTGTTATGAATCTTAATGTAAACATCTAATATGCAGGATGGTCTTAGGCGACCCCTGTGAAAGGGTCATTCGACTCCCAAAGGGGTCGCAACTCACGGGTTGAGAACGGCTGTCTTAGATGAAGATGTAATTTCTTTCACTGATCAGCTATTAGGGAGCTTTAGAAGGTTATGACTCTTAAAATATTTGTACAACTGTATTCTGGGCTCTTACATATCCACCTCTTTAAAATGCTAGTGGCTGGTATAGATGTGAGGGATGTTAACTCCAGGGATCGGAAGTCTGTTGTGGGCTCAGGAACACCATTCCCCACAGGGAAAGTGTGTGGGCAAGGCATTGTCTTCACAAGACAGCTCCAGCAACCCTCCGCTCCTCTACAAGCAGCTCCCCACAGTAGGCACCTGCCAGAAATAGAGCCCAAGTTTTCTCTATGGAAAAATACCAAACTGTTAAGACTGGTTTCAGTACTTCTTCCATAAGCACCAGTCAGAATAAAGAATCAACATTAATATAAAAAACGTTATTCTGGATCTTTTTAAAATGCTACTCTTAAGATTTACAACTTTACACGAGAGTAGTCCTCAACAAAGTTTTTAATTAAACTAAATCCTTAGCTCATTAAAAGAAAAGAGACCACTAGAAATTGATGTCATTCAGGTATTTAGAATCTGTTACCAGAATTTTTCATAAAAATTTTCACATAAGCACAAACTTAAGTCACTTCTTCACTGTATAACCCATGGATGATTAACAGGCCAGGAAGATGAAATTGTAACTAACAATTTAATTTACCTAATTAAAAAAAAGCAAGGGCTCGGCGCCTGTGGCTCAAGCGGCTAAGGCGCCAGCCACATACACCTAAGGTGGC